AAAAGTAAAAACTAAAAGCTAAAAACTATTTTTTTGGTCTTACCAAATAGACACTACATACAAAAACAGATGATAACGAAGGTTCTATAAAAGTCATGATCGAATGAATATCATATTTAATTAAGATCATCGGGACTTACAACAATTATAATAAGTGAAGTTGCTTAAATAAGAAATTCAATAACTATCATGATTCAATTTTCACACATGGTTCAAATTGATTTTGATTAATCAAATGATCAATCTACCGACAGGAGTTCATATAATCACAATCGCCAGAAAGAGTATCCAAATGACTATATCTATCACAAATTTACGTTTATACCATAAATCACTATAAGTAGATAAAGTATATCATCATGGATTCTAGGAAAGTGATAAAGAAACTAAACATGCAAACTATGTATAAATGTAAAAAGTTAGGGATAGAGAGATTGTACACAGGGTTTACATAGTTCAACATGTTCATCTTTGCTTTGCGCTTCATCCAGTTTTCAATGGTGAACCACTAAAAATTTGCAAGGTTTTCCACTATTTTATAAATTAATGAACATAGTTTTTTTTTATAAAATATAATCTAGACAACACTAAATACTTCAAAGCCAGATAACGCTTAAGCCAACATATGTTAAAATCTAGATTTTCTTTCTGTTGTAGCAAAATACTCAAACTAATAAAATCACAATATTTTCACTTGATCTTAACCCAAATGCCTTGCTAGACTAGAAGTTCCTCTCCAAGCTTCCATTTTGCAGCAATCTTTACTTGATTTTACTGATTCCTTGTCCGAGCATTTCTTCTACCCAAGGATCTTTGAAACTCCCAATGTCGTTCCGCTACTACCTTTGTTTGATACTATTAGTTCTGGACTGGACTAGAACTTGCCCCACAGCTGAGCAAGGCCCAATCCAGTCTAGCTTAAGGCCCGACCCAATACGACCATAGAACACAATATAGCCGTTGGGCATAATATAGTCGTTGAGCATAATATAGTCGTTGGAGCACATAACTGTTGAGGACATGCCCCTCACGCGCTTGATAGTTCACGTGGCCAACTGTCCCTCTAAAAGTCACGAAGACAGTTGGATCAGGTCAAAGATCACGCACTAGATCTTTCACATGACAATCCCCTATTGACCGACTAGATATTTCGGTTACATGGAGTACCTTTCTTTCTCTCTAGCCCAAACACTTACTTTGGCATTGGAGTATCTTGCAGGTACAACCCTCTCCTCTCATACAACCACTGTTGCTGCCCTACATTGAAAGCCAAGATGATCCATTCTGATCACTCCAGATCACTACCGAAGTCTTCGATGGAGAACAAAATAATCTTTTCTTGCTGGAATTCAATCATTAAATGCTTCCAAGCGCTGGCACATGATATCAAAGGACCTTATAAAAGTTCAACTATTGGGAGGTGGAAACATTAATGGTCCCGAGAACCTATGACTCAAAATAAATGAAGGTAATGAGCACTCCAACGTCATTGACAACTGGAAGATGCATATAAAAAAAGTGTATGGTGAATCTTTTAGGGCGATTATGTTAGCTCGTCCCTATTCGAAGAAAGGCTCTTAGATAAACCCCCTCACACGCCCGTTATAAACATGTTTAGGCATTTATAAAAGGAGTCTATAATCTTCTCAGAGGTGTAGTAAGTTCCAAAGTCCTCCACTCCCGAACGTTTGAATGAGCTGGCCACTATTGACAACTTTGGATTTCCTAAGAAAGAACAAGTAAAAAGAGAGTCCATATCACTACTATAATCAAAGGTGCTCTCATAACTCCCAAACATCCCCATTTACATAAACTTATAGTCAATCATTCGGTCGACTCACCTGGCATTTCTCATGCACTATTCATATAATTTTGTAAGTTATGTATAGGAACGTTCAATCACGTTACCCATATCGTCTAACTCCCTAATGATTTCCATTTCTAGAAAGAAGAGGGTGAAGTAGGGGAAAAAGAGGTCATATCAGTTTGCGATAAGAGAGGATGAAGTTAATCTTGATAAGGTTTGAGTATAATGTGCCTTCCTAAATGAAAACTCTAAAATAACATTGATGGAAAATGAGTTGATGTTCTCCTTTTATAGGATCGGGAACCCATGTTTTATAGGCCATGATTGCCTCCCTTAGGTACACACCAATGGTTGCATGGTGAATCTCCACATGTATCTATTATAAGACCATGTGTGTGTGCGTGTGTGTGCGCGCGTGCGCGAGTGTGCTTGTGCATGTGTGTGTGTGCGTGTGTGTTCTTATGTGTGTGTATATGTGTGTGTTACCTTAGTACTTCTAAGCTAATTCCTTACTTTTACAATACTCTGTTCACTCAGACAGACAGACAAACATGACCTGGCAAGCTTTCACACTTTATCTAAGACTTCAAGATTTCCGGCTATATTACTTCTGATCATATAAGCAGTTTGATCTTGAGTCTCCTTTTTTTATAAGGCATAAGATGTTTATCTAGTTAGATCATCATCATCTAGGTTGAAAGTTGCTGCTACCAAATTTATTCATTATTGTCGTCATCAAAACGTCATATGGAGCTTCTGCGAGATTTTCATCTTTATACATACAAGCACATAGATCCACACCTATTATAACCTATATCCTCTGATTGTCGACCTCAGCTAACCTCCAATTGTAAGCCTCCACCGATACAGAGAATTAGGCTCTGCTAGACCGCCATTACGGACGACTAAACTATGTTGATTGCCTTCGGGCCTCCACTGTGGAAGGTCAGACACCAACATCAATGAAGGCTATACAACTTACACCCCTATGAATCTACTCAATGATATTTAGTTCTACTTTATATCTAAGATTGAAATAATATTATTTTCTTCTCTCTAAGATAGACACAATAAATATGCTCATTTACTTGCACAATATAAGCATGATGCTCATTTTATTATTTCGGTTGTTTGTTAGACTTTTACTCATAAGTTGTCTTAACTTTTGATTTAATATAATTCGATTTCATGTATAAAAAAATCTACTTATTACTATTCTTGATTAATATTTAAAAATATTTTAAATTAAAGTTTATAATTAAATAAAAATAAAATAATTTTTTTTATTCATAGAAAAAAAGATGATAATCATTAAAAATTCAAATATACAACTAATTTTTAGTTTAAAGTTTAATGATGTTGTTCAATCTAACAATATCGACTTTTACATGTTAAGTTAAAATTTCCGAACACTTATTAAAATATTTTATTTGGTTAGATGTAAAACTAGATTTTTGGTTTAAAGAAAACATACTTAAGTATATCTTTTTCCTGACAAAACTACGTTGCTTTGAATTCCTCGTTATACTTGAGGATACATAGCAATAAGACCTACAATCTTGTCATACACTATAATAAAAACCTTTTTGCGACCCCTTTTCTTTACTATTTTAAACTTTTTGCGACCCCTTTTCAATCACAAATCTAACTGAACGGTTCGTTGAGTACAATGAATGTGAATAGTGCTAAAACCTTTTCCTTGCATAATCGATTCCCGAACCCAAATTTGTTTGCGACGATCATTTTCTCTTACTTTGAAAGATTTTATTGATATTTTCCTTTTCCTTTTTTGAAATAAATAAAATTCGGTGGCGACTTTGTTCAATCATTCTGCGAGCGTGCAAACACTCGTAAAGTCGTATTTTTTGAGATGCGACAAAACCCACAATATTTCACTTTTTTTTATTGCACTTATTCATCAATAAGAAGGAAAGTTACGATCATTAGACCACTTGATAAAAATAAAAAAATAAAACTTTTAAGTTAGTAGATTTAATAATTTTTTTAAAATATGCATAAATTATATCATTGAGAGATGGATGTTATTTCATGATTTTTAAATATATTATTAAAAAATATATCAAACTTTTATTTATTTAAAATAATATGTATGCATCAAAAATAAAATTAAATATTTTTAATTAAAGTTTACAATTAAATTTGAAACTAAAATGTTTAATTTAAGTTAGCATTTTAAATTTTAAATAAATAATATTAATGGATACAACTAGTTAATATTTTAATACGTTTTAAATTTAAAAATAATATTGAAATTATTATTATTGTTACAAAAAAATAAAGTAATAAATAAAATCCAAAAAACAACCTACTAAAATTAATAAGAAAATAGATTTCTTTTTTTAAAAATAATATTTGCATATAAATTTTTTTTATTCGTAGGAGAAATGATAATAATCATTCAAAATTAAATATACAATTAATTTTTAATTTAAAATTTAATAATATCATTTAATATAATAATATCGACTTTTAAGTTAAAATTTCCGAACACTTATTAAAATATTTTATTTGACTAAATGTAAAACTAGATTGTTGGTTTAAAAAGAAACACACACCTAAATATACAAAATATGAGAAATTGCCACTTGCACAATGAATCTCTAAATTAAATATAGAAGCACATCTAATACTATGAACCTAACTATAATTATTTATTTATTTATAACTTATAAATAAATTGTATGACTTTGAAAAAATGATTAAAAATCAAGTATTAAAATGTTCTTTAATACTCAATAAAAAATTATTAAAGTTATAAGACTTTGATTTGATAATTGGGATTCCAACTAACTTTTCCTATTCCCTCTCTCTCATTTGATTGATCCATAAAATATTGTGATTATCATCACCAACCAAAATCAAACGGTGTAGATTCCTACTTAAAGTCTATAACCTAATAACCCTAATCTTTGAACTATTGTCTCTTCTCTACCTTCCCTATATATTCTCTTCATCCTCATGTTATTTTTTGCGTTTTACATCTCTTCTTTAATTATATCAAACCATGACTCATAGCTTTTCAAACCCTATGGGAAACTCTTCCTTTATTTTCACCAACAAGTCAAAAAAATACCTAGAACTTGTTTTTCTATAATAACTTCAATTTAGTTTCCTCTCTCAAACCTTTTTTTTTATCTCTTTGTGTTCCTTGTTGCTTGTTGGTGAAACAAAAATGGGTGTTGTTGAAAAGGGTCCAAAGAGTTTTCATCTTCAAAAGCAAGAGTTCAAAGGTGTTCCAAAAGGGTTTATGGCGATTAAAGTAGGTCAAGGAGAAGATCAACAAAGGTTTGTTGTTCCTATTATGTACTTCAAGCACCCTCTTTTCATTCAACTATTGAAAGAAGCAGAAGAAGAATATGGATTTGATCAAAAAGGAACTATCACTATTCCTTGTCATGTTGAAGAATTTAGAAACGTTCGTGGTTTGATTGATAGAGGCAAAAATCTTCACCAACATGTTGGTTGTTTTGGTTTATGATTTATGATCTTATCATAAACCACAAAATTATGAGCTTATCATGAACCACAAAATTTGAAGAATAAAAACAAGTTTATCTTCACTCTAAAGTCTTGTAAATTTTTAGTTTTTTTTGTTATAGATATTTTGAGTTGTTTTTTGTTACTTATATTAAGTACTATAAACCTTAGTTTGTTTTTTGTTGAAGACCACAGAATGTTGGTTTTTCAATTGTAGTTAATTTTGGTTTTAATTTGATAGGAAATTTAATGGAAAGTAGTGAGTTTTTTTCTAGTTTTTAGTTGAAGATTTTTTTCTTCTTTCACGCGTGAGAATAATTGGTACAACACTCTTTTGGAAAAGATAAGATAATTGAAAAGAAAGAATTGACTATAAGTAGGGCTAAATATTTGTGTCTTTTCCTTTATGTTGAGTGATTGAAATTGTCATTATCAAATTGGTGTATCACATTAAAGTAGGGTTAGCCATTAACCGATGGATTATAATTAGGGTTACATCCATAATTATTCTAGATGTGGATACTCAAATTCAGCCAAGATAATGCCTCTTAAATTTGTTTTTTTAAGGGTGAGATTTGTTTGAGACAAAAAAAATCTAACGAGTGAGATTTGATTTGAAAAAGCATACTAAATATGTTGATATTCAAGAATTAGTGAATTTTGTTATTTTGAATTTTGTGCGATTAGGACACACTAATAAATGAAATGAGACAAATATATATTAAAGAGTACGAATCTATAACTTTGTTTTATCATGCAAAAAATACGGGTAAAACCATCATGCCTGATGAGTCTGATCCGTTTTCCATCTATCGTGCTGCTATTAATGATGGGTCATGAGGAGGAGCAACAACGTTGGGTCAAGAGCAACACACAAGTGAAGCACACACCACATATTTCAGTCAAAACTTTAAGGGATTGGATATATGCGTCCTCTCAATAATAAAGTGTTCAACCTCTGCCTTTCGAAGCAATAAGGGATTGGATATATGCGTCATCTCAATAATAAAGTGTTCAACCTCTGCCTTTCAAAGCAATATGGAACTTTCCTATTTTGATCCGCTCTGGAAAGAAAGGTAGGATGGGACATGCATAGTTAAAAGTGCGGGTCTAAAACCTTATATAAAGGGTAAATTTTATCAAAATTCTTATTAATATCTGCGCCCATAAATAAATTAAATGATAAAGATATATTAGAGCGTGCGAGTCTAAAATCTTATTTTGTCCTACAAAAAAATGCAGACAAAACAATCATGTTTAATGGACCCAACCCGTTTTGCCATCTTTTATGTCGCTATTGCTGATGGGTCATGAGGAGGAGCATCAACATTGGATCAAGAGAAACACACATGTGAGAGAGAAACCACATATTCAGTCAAAACCTTAAGGAATTGGGTATATGGATCTTCTCGCTTATAAAGTTCTCAACATCTACTTTTTCGAGCAATGTGGAACTTTCCCCTTTATACCCGCTTTGTAGAAAAAACAGGGCATGACGAGACATACATAGTTGAGTGTACAGGTATAAAACCTATATTCGTCTCGTTAAAAATGCGCTCGCAAATAAACAGAATGAGATTGATATATTAGAAGGTGAGAGTTTAAAACCTTGTTCTGTTCTAAAAAAAATACAGGAAAAAGAGGCATGCCTGATGGGCCCAATCCGTTTTGCCACCCCTGGTGCTGCTATTGGTGATGGTTCATGAGGAGGAACAACAAAATTGAGTTAAGAGCAACACTCAAATGAGAGAGATACCACATATTCAATCAAAATCTTAATGTTATGTTTGAATTGATAAAATGGAACGGAGCAGAGCATAAAGAAATATGATGAAGTGAGTGAAACAAAGCAGAGTGAAACATTGATTCTATTTCATTGTTTGTGTATTGTTTATAAGATGGAACAAAACATAATAAATTAGTTTTTAAATGGGATGAAATGAAAATTGAAGGTTTGGATGAAATAGGATGGGATGAATTCCATCACGTTCCATTTCGCTTCATCTAATATTTGTAAATCCAAAGAATGGAATCTCATTATTTACCACTTCATTCGATTTCATCTCATACCAATAATCCAAACATACCCTAAGGGATTAAGTATAAGGTTCATTTCACTTATAAAGTGTTCAACCGTTTGTATCTCAACAACTCTCGTTTTTATCTCAACAACTCTCCGTCAAGTGTGATTCCATACACTTATATGGTCCTCCTCAATCGAAAACTCTTTCATCCACATACACTTGATATGTTTTTTCTTCCTTGGTGTCGTTATTGCTAATGGGTTACGAATATGAGCATCCACATTGAGGCAAGAGGAACACCCAAGTAAGAGTGACGCCACATATTCATTCAAAAACTTTAAGGCATTCGGTATATGAGTCTTCTCACTTTTAAAATATTCAACCTTCACTTTTTCAAGAAATGTGAGTTCATCCACTTTTATGCTCCCTCAAGTAGAAGCTCTTTCATCCACATACACTTGTATTGCCGTTGACACACTTAGCACGTCACAGACACTTCAACGGGACACGTCGTGTGACCACCACCATGTCAGAAAAACTTTTGATACAAAAAGTCAGTCTCTTACTCGAACCATCAACTTTAATACCACTAATAGATCACAAGGAGGAACATCATATTGAGTCAAAACACCACATATTCACACAAAATTTTCTGACCTTGAATATATGAATTCTATCACTTATAAAGTATTTAATCTCCACATTTTTTTCAAACAATATAAAACTTTCAACCCATTCTTATATCTCAATAATTGCAGTTGAGAAAAGATAAAATTTAGGAATAGAAATGAATTAAAATATTGATCATTGATGTTTAATTATTTAAGATATTTTTTCCCAATTTATATTTCTCATAAATTTATCACCTCTTGTTTTTCTATTTTTCTTCCATTTTCTCTATTGTGCCCAACCCAATTAAATAATAGTATTAAAGTAAAGACTCTACTGCTGCAAGAGATAAGGGTCTATAGAATTAAGGTCAAATATGATCGACATTGTGATTAAAGCGATTATTAATTAAAGTCAAGCACTAACTTAAACCAAATGCCACGCCTTTGCTTTTGTTTCTTTGTTGCTTTTTTACCCTTTAATGATGTTCAAAACAAAATATTACACTTTTTCCTCCTCTTTTCAAGATTTTGTTTTCGTTAACATGGTGTAAGTATTTAGTTTAAAATATTTAATTATATAGTATAATAATATTATATGAACATATATCCTAATTTAATTATATTTAAAAATAATTAATGAATTATTATGAAATTAAAATATATGACTTTTAACTTATTACAATTCATCAATATTGTTAAGATGAGCATCATACATGTTACATATATGATGAAACACATGGAGCATAAAGGAGGAAAATGAGATTTTGCATGTAGAATAAATGCAAGACAAAGACAATAACTAGGGCATGTGGACCATTTCTGATTCTGAAAATAAAAATTTTAACTATATCAATGGGGTCTCTTAGGAATGAGTGAGAGGCAGAATCTTGAGTGTTGTGAATTTGAATTTAAGTAGAGAATAGAGTTGTTGGTATTTAGAATGCATTAATTGGTTAGGTGATATGAAAAAGACAAACAACCTAAAGATTACAATGATGCATGACTTCCACGTTTGGTGAGGGGCATGGTGTTGTGAATCAAAGTGTACACATTTAATTCAATTTGAGAATAGTAACCTCGACCTCTTTGTTTGTTTCTACTCTTTAATGCTTGAAAATTGAACCAATAGAGCCAACATATTTTGGACCTCTTCGAGTTGAATTTAATTCACCTGATGTTAAGGTTAGGGAATAGGGAATAGGGAATATCAACATATTTTTACCACCATAAGAATATACTAGTACTATAATACTAGTCCTCTCTTCAAAATAATTAATTTATTGGGAAGAGAAATAAAGATAAATAGGAGTGAGGACTATCATATGCCCTATTTGAAAGACCTTTTAAGAGTAAGCAAGCAATAAAGAATCATCTACTTATGGTGAGGAGACATTCATTGTGAAGACTCTTAAAATATTCAAGATCTCTTTTAAAACATGTATAATAAAAACAAAGGATGATATATAATTGAAATAAAAAGACATAATCAACATAAAGATTTATATTAATTTATTATTAATTTGATAGTTACTAGTTCAATCACTATTACAAATATTATATTTCAGAACAAAATTTTCATCTTAATCAATTAAAAATCGAAGTCAAATATTCTGGAACGCGCAATTTTAATATTTTTTAGAAATTAAATCAGTTTTTGTCGGTTTTTTTAAAAAATTGACAAAAAATATAACTCATGTTTTGAGTTTCGATTCTCAACTCTTACAATTCCGTACTTTATTTAAAACCAAAATGACACACTTATTTTATAAATATTTTTCCTTATTTTCTTAGAAAACCGACATGAAATGTTGCTTAGTATTTTATTTAATTAAATTGAACTCAACTTTTAACTCAATTGTTTTCCTTCGTTTTTTTTGTCAACTGAGATATAATCTCCAAACAATATTATATTACAACATCAGAATGTTAAATCTTATTCACTTTTGCATTATTTTTCATAAACTTTTAGCTCCATAGCGAACGAACGAAACATCATTCTTCATCTTCTCCACCTAACGAACGAAACACCATTGTTCATTTTCTTCACCTAATAAACAGTAATATCATTCTTCATCTTTTCCAAGTTGAACAAAGTAAATAAAGGAGGAAGGAAGCTCGAATAAAGAAACTCGAACCTCAAACCAACACAATTCTTTGACCCTCTCATCACTTTTCCGGTATATAAAAATTTCTTCATGATTGTACCATTAATGTTGTTGTTTTTTTCGTTGTCGTTGTCATTATTGTTTTTGTTATGGTTTTTGAGACTTAGGGTATAATGTTGTGCTATTTTCATGTATTTCTAGTTGTTTTTGTTTATTGTTGTTTTATTGAGATGAAATGTTCATTGTTATTGGTTGTGTACG